TCTTCTACACTTGCACTCATGTTTAACAACAATTGTCTTCTACAGTCTGTTTAACAACAATAGTCTTCTCTTGCACTCATGTTTAACAACAATAGTCTTCTACACTTGCACTCATGTTTAACAACAATAGTCTTCTACACTTCATGTTTAACAACAATAGTCTTCATGTTTAACACTTGCACTCATGTTTAACAACAATAGTCTTCTACACTTGCACTCATGTTTAACAACAATAGTCTTCTACACTTGCACTCATGTTTAACAACAATAGTCTTCACACTGCACTCATGTTTAACAACAATAGTCTTCTACACTTGCACTCATGTTTAACAACAATAGTCTTTCACACTCATTTAACAACAATGCACCCACACTCATGTTTAACAACAATAGTCTTCACACTTGCACTCATGTTTAACAATAGTCTTCTACACTTGCACTCATGTTTAACAACAATAGTCTTCTACACTTGCACTCATGTTTAACAACAACAATAGTCTTCTACACTTGCACTCATGTTTAACAACAATAGTCTTCTACACTTGCACTCATGTTTAACAACAATAGTCTTCTACACTTGCACTCATGTTTAACAACAATAGTCTTCTACACTTGCACTCATGTTTAACAACAATAGTCTTCTACACTTGCACTCATGTTTAACAACAATAGTCTTCTACACTTGCACTCATGTTTAACAACCATAGTCTTTAATGTTTAACAACAATAGTCATGTTTCAATACACTCACACTCATGTTTAACAACAATAGTCTTCTACACTTGCACTCATGTTTCAATGTCTTCTACACTACACTCATGTTTAACAACAATAGTCTTCTACACTTGCACTCATGTTTAACAACAATAGTCTTTCTCTACACTCACACTCATGTTTAACAACAATAGTCTTCACTTGCACTCATGTTTAACAACAATAGTCTTTGCACTCATGTTTAACAACAATAGTCTTAACAACACTTGCACTCATGTTTAACAACAATAGTCTTCTACACTTGCACTCATGTTTAACAACAATAGTCTTCAATACACTTGCACTCATGTTTAACAACAATAGTCTTCTACACTTGCACTCATGTTTAACAACAATAGTCTTGCACTCATGTTTAACAACACTCACACTCTCACACTCATGTTCATGTTTAACAACTATAGTCTTCTACACTCTCACTCATGTTTCAAAATGTGCGAAAAAACTGAATTAAATATAGAAGACAAAAACAACTATTGTCCAGAAATTGGTGTAATACTTAAAAATAAATTATATTTAACTTTATATCACCAATATGAATATATAATCTTTTAATTTTATACAATTTTATGAAACTTGGTAGAATTAATAATCTTATTCTTTTTTGGGGGTTACAACACGAGTATAGGGATGCAGAGATCGATTATTGCACTCTGGGTAAGATAAAGTCACGATGATCACTTGACGGACGGTGAGTAACGTGAATTCGTGGGTGGGTGGGGGGTGTGATAAACCCCCGTTACTATGTAGAATATTGACGTCATCATGAGCCCGTAGGTGCAGGACGAACAGAGGAAATTACACGGTCCCACTAAATTTCATAGAAGACACCACCGACCTGGTTATTTTCCTTTTGGTTCAGACCCTTTTGCTTTTCTCCCGTTTATACTGCTTGTTGTATTCATGTGTGTTATAATTTCTCTGCGTGGAACAATTAGTAGATACATATTTGCTACAATATGTTGTATGACATATAGCGAATATAAAATCTCATTGCGAACAATGCGTTTCTTTCTTTCAGCTATTCAGGTCCTTCCTTCTGTTGTATTAATGTGTTAGTATATCACGGATAAACTAATGCTAATAATGGCAAAAATGAAAATATTCTTTCTTACCACACACCGCCATTTGAGGTATAAAAAATATTAATTAAATATAGTTAAATGATACGTCTTATTATTTTTTTTACTCATTGCATTTATTTTTAAAATTATTTTCTTACTTATTTGATGTCGTAGTGGACATAAGAAGGATGCGTGAATATTTAAGATTGTGCTGCAAATAAAATATGCAATAATATCCACAAACATAAATTATAAAAAATGGCCAAATGGTAACGATATTCCATCACGACAACATTACATGTTTAAAATAACAAATTAAACTTTATATGCACAATTTACAATTTCTTTGTTTGTAATGATGTGTGCAAAAGTATATTTTAGAGGAAATGTTCATTGCTGTTTCAGAAATGTTCACTGTATAAAAAATTGTCTGCCTTTTGATTGAAAGGTTGAATTTAACTTAGACAAAAGATTTTTCTATAAAAGATATTAAGTGAAAAAATTTGTTGTATGAAATTTTCCAATCTCTCATAAAGAAAGTTTGTTTCTTTGGCAGCAATTTTTGATACATTATTCTCGTGTGTATCTTTGCTTGTGTGAGTCTCAAAATGCGTTGAAAATTCGTTTACTCTTTCTATTTATAGATTTTTTAACAACAAAATCCGCTCCAGCGGCTTGGTAGCTTGTTGCGAATTTTTCTGAGAAATGCGTGGGCGAATGTTTTATTTTTTAGCCAATAGGATTTCTTGAAACATTTAAATTAGGGATGAATTTGAGAAAGATTTTTTTATGTCAGTTGAGCCTATTTTTGAACAGATTTTGACTGTTTTGTTATGGAAATTTCTCGAAGCTTATTTTTATTTAACAACCAATGAAATTCAAGAAAATGTTTAAAAATTGAAATGAGGGTTACTAAAATGTCATCCAATATTTAACTACGCCCAATCATTTTTTAAAAAATTATTCTAAAATTTTTTAAATTTATTATCCCAATTGAAAATCTACCAAAATGAGAAACATTGACAAAGAATTATTGAAGTGAGATTTAATTGTTTGCAGTCACACAATTATTGAATTATTTTCTTTTTGAATTTCCGTAAGTTGTAAAAATGAAAAATAAGTAACTTTCTTTTAAAAATACCCTGGTTCAGTAGAAGACTAACACTAAACAGTTAACCGGGAGAAAACTAGTTACGAACCGGGAGACCGGGTTAAGAAGCTCAAAACTGAGAGTCTTCTAGCGAAACTGGGAGTGTTTACATGTCTGATTAATAAAGATTTTACCTAGAAGTTTGATTTGAATGATATTTACAGAGACACGTACAGATCTTTGTTTAAAAAAACCCCCAAAAAAAAAAAACCAAAAAAAAACCCCCAAAAAATGGAAAAAAAAAGAAAGAAAGTAAGCCTGGAATTCGCTGTTTAATATATGCGTTGACTGACAGCTGAAAATTTTATGTCCAGGATTAAAGAATGAACTGGTTCTTCATGAGAGACAGAAATCATTTTCAATGGGTTCGTACTATTTAAAATGTCTCTTGCCATAACCTTTCACACACAGGGAGTCCATTTTATTCTTATTATGAGATATTCAGTTACTAATAAATAAACAAATAATACTTGCATAAACTCAAACTCACAAGAGAGGTTCAATATATTTCCTGGTGTCAGTGTAGAGCAGTTATTTTTCAACCAATGTGCCGCGCCAAGATTGCAGGTGCGCCGCGAAAATTTTAAAAAGTCGTCAATTATTTTCGAAAGAATCCAAAGCACAATAAGTATATAAATCAAAACAGCTTTAAATTGATTATACGTGTACAAGTGGTCCTCAATTTACGTCGGACATCCATTCCTACGGCGCGACGTAATCTGATTAAAGCTAATAATTACTAAGCGATACTAAAATCATTACTAATGAAAAGTAGTAAATACAGAAGATGCTTATTTAGACTTGTTATATACCGTACCTATGAAAACTAATAGATATGTCCCAATTCTCATAAATACGTTGGGCACTATTGTAAGTTGGGGTTAATATGTTGTCTAAGTCGCCCATCACTAAGAGTGGTTTACCTACTTCACGCCGCTATCGAGTATTGTAGTTTGTTGATGTTATTAAGATTAGCATTTCATTTCCAACCTCCGTTTTGGCTATTCCTATTTCAGTAACCCGTCCTAGGTTACTACAAGACTATTTACATGCGAACTATTGTCCTCATTTTTGTTGTTGTTATCACAACGTTTCGGCCGTTGTGCCCTCCGACCTTCATCAGGCGTATATCAATCAGGATAACTTACAGGGAATTTCGAACTTAACTCTTTGTAGATTGTTCTCGTTCCACTGTCAATGTCTAGAAATATCTCGTCTCATTCGCAGTTATTTCTCGCCTCGTTTCCACCGAGTCTAAGTACACACTGACCGACGCAGGTATTGAACTCACAATTACTATATTGTCACCAAATTTAATTCCTGGTAACTTGTCATCCCCAAAAATCATACAGAACGAGGGTGTTACTGTTGTAGAGGAATATGTGCGTAGTTCGAGGTTGACAACTTTCGAAGGAACTGAATTCAGATTTTCAGAAGGAATAAATTTCGACAGATCGAGGAATTTTACTGTGTACGCAGACAGCTGAAAAGGAAGAAAAACTTGAAGACTTTGTTTTTAAGAAATATGCGTGGGTATGATATGTATTTGTTAAATCGATGAGGTTACCGCGCTTAGGGTCGGAGGTGGGGCTTGCGAAATGTCTCTCAGCTGGGACAAGGCACATGTTGATTCTGTTGCATTTTAGAGAAAAAGAGAAAGGAGAAAGGGTAATCCTGAAACAATGCCGCCTAGCGGGGATCTTGGCAGACCAAGTGGGTGTAATTTCCATATCAGATTCGATACGATTGATATGTTTTTTTACGCCTTATCAACCCTTTGCAGTTTATCTAAAGTCAGAAGTTATTTTTAGATTGCAAGAATGTTTTTGGAGATAATAATGTTTTAGTGATACAAGTCTTACTAATTAACCCATAGCTGGGAGGAGAAGAGGTGGATTCATACTTTTATGTATTTGCGCGTAAGTAAATATATCGAACCCGACTTGAATTGGAACTCGGCTCTCCGATTAACAATTCCGAGTCATTATCCATTACACCACCTGCACATCCAGCTTAGAGCACCTGGCATTCTCTATCGGTCACCCATCTAGGTACCGACCACGCTCGACGTTGCTCAATTTCGGTAATCGTACGGGAACCGGTGTTTCAACGTGATATGGCCGTAAACCCCCGACGTCAGAGACATGCGCAGAAACGTCAAAATAATTTATATTATGTCTACATTAATGTTTATCAACACATTTAAGAAAAGGGATATTAGTGGATATGAAAAAAATAAATGCAATGAATAAAACAAATCCTCAAAATTATCATTTAACTATTTTTAGTTAATTTCCCTTTTATACTTCTATTGAAATATACAAGATAAATTTAGTCATTCTACCAAGTTTCATAAAAGCCTGTAGAATTAAAAAATATATTCATGAACTATTGGTTATATAAAGTTAAAGATATTTTATTTTTAAGCATAAACAATACCAGTTTGTAGATTATAGAAGTTTTTGTCTCCGTACTTAATTTAGATTTTTCGCGACTTTTGTTTTAAGTAGGCGTCACAGTAGACGACTACGATAAGCGGTAAGAGATGTCAGTAAGTACATTATGGAGGCGATGCTTGTGTGACGGCTCTGTGTTCACATTATGTTCTTGTCTACTAGTTGTAACAAAAAGGGGGTCACCAGTTGTAACAACATTTGGTTTAATGCCCCAACATTTTCTAAATAAGTGAATTTCACACGTGGACGGATTTTGTATATATTTATATACTGAACAACACAGCTCAGTAGAGAAATATATACTTGCATGATTATCTGTTGTGTGTGTGTGGGGGGGTGCGAGACATGGTTAGGTTGAGACTAAAAAAATTCCTAGATGGGAAATGAGACATATCTTGACACTACAGCAACATGTGGTTGAAGAGTGGAAAAAGCGAAAGATGGTTTGGATCCCTTTTCTTTTATACTGCTTTATACAACGACCCTTTTATCATACCCCTGGTTGACAAAGTGAGTTAATCCCACACTAGTAAGTATATGTAGGCTATAGTAGTATGTATATTGTAAGCGATATTAGTAAATATAAGATATAATCGAAGCTAGCATAATTATTTATGTTATCGGACATTATGGATAAGTTAGAAAAAAGAATGAAAGTAGTTCAAACATACACCAAACATAGCATTTATTATATTGAGTAACAATATACAGTGCTTTTACTATTGTGAATATATTTTTGTTTCGTTATAGAACAATAAAAATCATACTTTCGAAAAGGTTCAGTATGTGATGTCAGAAGAGTAGCAGATGAGTCCTTGTTGTCTGTTCACGTCCTAGGAGTAAAAAGAAACCAAGAGTTTCATATCTCCCGCTGAGGTAGCAAGAAGACGGGCTGCAATTGGACGGTTTTCTAACCATTACGGAATTCCCATACATATAGGTTTTGGTAGAGCTTTGACCAGCGTGTGAGTGTGTTAAAGTGTTATATGGTGGACTCTCCCGTCGTATTTGACGTGCAAGAGAATCAATAGCACAGACACCAGCACATATGATTTGATTATAGTGGTGAAGGTTTTGTGCAGAATCAACCACACTTTTTGAAGGGCCGAATACAGAGACCAGGTGCACTACGTGCCACAAGGTTCCCAGGTTTTGAATTCAGAGTTGTCCTAGACCAATCGGAGAACCGAGTTCGAATTCCAGTTGAATCCATTACATTCACTTACGTGCTAATACCCTTGGGAAAGGTGTGAATCCTCTTCTTCTCCCTCCAGCTATGGGTAAATAACAGGACATAGTGGGTTCTATAGCCTTGGATGACAACTGATCTAGGAGAAGGACAACTCAATTCAAAACCTGTGGAGGGTCGTTTGGGGACCTTGTGGCACGTAGTGCACCAGGTCTCTGTATTCGGCCCTTCAAAAAGTGTGGATGGTCCTGCACAAAACCTTCACCATTATAATCAAATCTCATATGCTGTTTTCGGGATGTCGGTTTCCGATCTGCTTGGCCCTCATACGTCGAATTCGACGGGGACAGTCGATATATATATATATATATATATATATATATATATATATATATATATATATATACTCATTGCACTAGTAAGTTAGGGTTGTAGGCGATGCTAGTAGGTATTTATCTGCACGCCCATTCGAACTAAATGTGACACAAGGTCAAGTTTAAAGTGAGAGTCTACGCGTACATTAATAGCTCAAGACACCTCCCTCGCTAATTCTCCTTTTGAGGACATCTCTGTCTTCAGAAAATGACAACGTCTTCCCGCGGGAGAGGCTTCACCAGGTATGTACTTACTTATTAATCGGTGCTAGTAAGTAAATGCTTTTGGCGACGCTAAAGTTTAGATACTGTGGGCGTTGCTAGTATGCATATGCTGTAGGCGATGGTAGAAAGTGTATAATGTCGACAATATTAGAGAGAATGTGTCGTAGATAATATTAGTAATTATATATCGTAGCTGAAGCTCAGTAGTATATGGTTTTGACAATGTCAGAAAATATATAATGTAGGTGATGGTCGTATGTATACAGGAGGGC